GCCAAATTATCTATCTTAGGACGATAACCGCCGGTTATTAAAAATTTGTAATTTTCCTTAGGATCTTCCATTTTTATATTGCTATTGTTTATTGCACAAGGATATGTTTCCAATCGTAAAATGTTGATAAAAATTATTGACACTAAAAATTTTTTCATACAACACATTTCTAATTTCTTATAAAAAGGATTCAATACTTATAATTAATTATTATGTGATTGATGTGAGACTAAACATCCGAAATCGATATACATAATATACATATATTCAAAATTAAAAAGGTAAAAATGTTTTAAGTTCGGTCGAAGTTTGTTTGTACATATGTATATAAAAAAATTAATATTTTATCCTCGGGTATTCTCCAAATATGACCATTTGCAAACCAAAATTTAATGATCGCAGACGACGTGTCCTTCACGTTTATGTTTGTCAGCGTAGTCGACATTTTGCTTCTTATATTGATATTATGATTATGCTTACGAAAACAACCAGATCAAAACATTGTGAACCAAATGCTAACTCTCGCATCAAAACATCTGCCCATAAATATCTCGATCGAGAAACCTCCTGTCTTTATTTCTGTGAACAGCCGCAAGCTTTCTTAACTCCAACTGTTTCGGTTTCACAGAACTTACCGAAGACACCTTCACTGCACTACTTATTCCTATGGTAGTAATTGTTATCCAATCTCACGTGCCATGACGAACGGGTTGAAATTGAATTCGATGGCCATGCCTGTTCGCCCTCGGTATACATTGCACCCTTCAGCCGATAAGGTTAAAAGTCATATTACACGGCGGCTGCGCAAAATGCCAAAATACTGCGCGCCACTTACTTTCACTGAGGAGGAGGTTCAGAGTGTCAACAGCAAGGCGAAATCGTTGAAATCCATTGACCCAGAGGCGATAAACGTGTTGATACTAAAGCACTTAGGCTAAACTGGAGTAAAATACCTAGCCAAGGCCCTCAACCTGTCGCTGGCCACTCTTTATACACCCGATATGTGGAATATTGGAAAAATGGTACTCCTACTGAAAACTGAGGAACCCACCAACCTGAGAAGTCTTATTGTTCGATAACTCTCCATTCCCTAGTAGTGAAGACACTCAACATCGCTTCCGGAAAGTGCACAGTACTACCAAAGCACTTAGCGTCATAAAGGTCTTGATAGTTCGCATACTAATCAAAAATAAACTTTTGTGAGGACCATCCTCTTTTTGGACTTATTAAAAGCTTTTGACACAGTCAAACACACAGCGCTACTACAAGACATCGAACAATCTACGCGCCCTCCTATCTGACTATCCGAGCGGTCGGTAATTATCCGTACAAGTTCGATCCGTACAAAACTCCAAGTTAAGAAGAATTGAACAGATGGTTTCGCATGGTGGTGTCTTCTGCCGACTACTGTTAAACTTCTATAACTCGAAACTCCCGCAACCAACAAAGAGAATTGCCATCACCTAATACACAATATTGACGTCAGGCAATGAAATTGATGGTATCTTGGTTTATTTTCTGCGAGAAACCTAACGCTCTCGCGCACGAAATCCGCAGCGACAATATTCACGAACTGTACGAAGGAGTACAGACTGTATCTTAATATCACAGTCGATGGTGTTAAAATTCCGCCTTTCAACAATCCTAAGATTTTAGGCGTTACACTTGACATTCGCATGCGATCACAATTATTGCCAAAGTACAGAGCCGCAAAAGGCAAAGAAACGTTGCTGGCAACATGCTAGGCAATCGGTCGACCGATCGTTAACTACGCAGCACCGATATGAACGCCTGGATGTGGTGACACGCAGTCGAAGAAGCTTCAGACGTGCACTGCACTCTGTACGATAACAGCATCCCTCGAATACCTACACAGTGAGTCCTGCATGCTTCCGGTTAAGGAACAAAATGTAGGATGTTTTCGCAGAAATCATCACTGCAGTCGTCTGCCTAAAACGAAGCCGCCTCCGCATTAAGAGGTCCCTAACACCTTCACCGACTCCCTTCCAGTGAATGGCTTACTTGAAGTTAAACCACGATCAGCAATAATTAATTTACGTATTCTTTACTATACATTCCTTTCGTTATGAAAATTTGTAACACAATTAGCAAAATAAAGTTTACAGGCCTTAATTTACTTAATCCATTCTTACGAATCCAATCAAGATACGAAGTCACATTCATATAATAACCTGGATAATTGGGTGAAGCACAGCCAAAACCAAATGATACAATACCCGTTAAAGATCCATTACATATCAGTGGACCACCAGAATCACCTCGGCACGCATTTTGCTCAAAATCATCCACATCACCAGCACACATCATGCCAAAAGAAAAAGAGCTGTATCTCTCTTTACAGTATTCCGTTGGCATTATATAGATATCGGCATGTAATATTAAATCTGGAAATGGGCCTGCCTAGAATAATTGATAGTTGAAGTTTATACAGAGTTTATTGTAATAGAATTTACTTACTGTAAAAACACGACCCCATCCAAGGACGGTGCATTTAGTATAGGGAGGTAATATCTTTGTTTGCAGACTAATTCTTTGTGTTGAAACACCGTCTTCATATATATCTTTTAGCAACAATAATATAGCAATATCATCTCGCATAGTATCAGGATCGTAGTATTCGTGTCTAATAACTCTATCAACTTTTATTACTTGTGTTTTATCAGTGGCTACCAAACGTTTTGGAGTTCCAGCTACGACCGATATATCAGACGGTCTCAATTGTATTCGTCCTTCCCTGAATTTATTGAAATGCTTATGTACTCATTAAGATTTTTTCAAACGTATTGTCAAATTGTTACCTCTCACAAACACAATGTGCTGCGGTCAGAATAATTTTGGGTGATATCATAGTGCCACCACAATTGTGATCATCTCCAAAAAACCTTGAATATTTTTTTCCTCGTATGGAGACAACATATTTTGCCAAATTATCTATCTTAGGACGATAACCGCCCCGGCGGTTATCGTCCTAAGATAGATAATTTGGCAAAATATGTTGTCTCCATACGAGAAAAAATATCAAGGTTTTGAGATGATCACAATTGGTGGTGGCTCCATAATATCACCTAATGTTATTCTGACCGCAGC